TAATGATCTAAAAAACTGACTGAAGAAAATGGCTATAAAGTTAAGCAAATTTTTAATGTAGAAGAAATGGGTTTATTTTGGAAGATGCCGTCATGCACTTATATGATGGGAAAAGAATCATCACAACCAGGATATAGTCTCCAAAGACCATTTAATGCTTTCATTAAGTGGGAATGCATCTGATTAATTTAAATTAAAGCCTATGCTGGTGTACAGAGCAGAAAATCCAAGTGCTCTTAAATCCTATTCAAAAATTGCTCTTCCTGTTATATGGCAGTCAAATAAGAAGTCTGGATGTACCTGGGATATAACTGGAGGAGGTTTAAGGGGTCATCAGCCCCCTCCCCCCCGGCCTGGTCCGTGACCAGGCCTCACAGTAGATCAGGGCCTGATCAACCAGGTTGTTACTATTTGAAAATTGGTTTCCAAATTATTTATTGGATAATGTACCGGGTCATCCTACTTCTCTTTCTGACTTGAATGAAAATGTCAATGTAATTTTCCGCCACTGAACACAGCATCGTTATTGCAGCCAGTGGATCTGGGTGTCATTGCTACACTTAAGGCCTATTATTTAAGATGTACTTTTGGGCAAGCCATAAAAATAACAACCAGAGAAAATGCCACAAGTTTAAGTGAATATTGAAAAGGTTACAATATCCAAAATGCAAATGAAAACATAAGTGAATCACAGCTTGAAATAACTGTGAGCAACATGAGAGCTGTTTGGCAATTTCTTTTACCACATTGTTCCAATGATTTTGCTGGTTTTGAATAATATATTGAAACTGTTTGTGAAAACACTGTGCAGCTTGGGAAAGATCATCTCAGATTAGAAGCTTTGGACTGTGAAAATGTGCATCAATGCACCGACTCCCTTTCTGATGACTATGATACAACACTTGTGGAATCAGTAATGTTTATTTGAAGAAACAGGAAAATCAAGAAAATGCTGCACCTACAAAAGAATTCACATTGGAAGAACTATCAATTTTAATTGCAAAAGTAGAAGATGCGTGTGACTTCATAATGAATGCTGATGCAAACACTAAATGAGGCATTAGAGTTAGGCAGGCGTTACAAAATGGTATTCGATGCTAGAGACATGTATGCTGATAAAAAGAAGAAAAAACTGTGCAAACTATGCTGTTCAACTATTTTTGAAAATAAAAACTATATTTTTATTTACTGTGTGTACACTGTTTATTTACAACTGTAATAAAAATCTTTAGTACTATTTTTTCATTTTTATCTTTTGTAAATGTGTGCAAGAGTTTCATGTGCACTGATTTGTACTAAGCAAACAGTTAAATATTTTTGTGATCAGAAGCACTGAGTCACATTGTTGGAATGCATTACATTAAAACACATTTCATATAATAACTTGATCAGTACAGTTGTACTGTACGGTATTTTTTTGACACATTAACCGTACTATTCAAGGTATTGCTGTAATGAGAAAGAAGACGAATCAAAGAAAATTAAGTTAAAACATTACAGAATCATACAGCATGCCCTCACTCACAGACAGATATCAGAATATGACGATGTCACTACCTTATCAACCCAGCCTCTCACTATAGTGGGTGCCAAAGGGCAGCATCCTAGGCCCTCTATAATTCATGATCTACATCAATGACCTACCTATTGCCTCTCAGGAGCTTAAACTAGTTCTGTTTGCAGATGACAACTTTCGTTTTATCAAATCCTGATCCTGCTGACTTCAACAACAGTCCTATAATCTATTAAAATTACTGTATTTAATAATTTTCATTATTAATCAGTACATGTATGTCAAAAAGTAAAGGCGGTGTGATGTTTTAGCAATACCGAAAACTTTCAACAATTCTTGGAATTGTCAGGATTTTTGAAGCTAAAAAGGAGGAGATGATGTAAACTAGAAAGAGAAAGGCGCTCCCTATACAGGCAAAGGCAAAGAATAACATAGCGGCTACAAGAGGCCAATGTATCTGCAATATGTAGGGAGACACTGGCCAAAGAAATAGCAAACATCGAACTAAAGCTACAGGAATCTTACAGGAGTCAAGAAATGTGAGAACTAAAAGCCATAAATGAAATTGAAAGGAACCCAAAGTATTTCTTTTCTTATGCCACATCAAAGTCTAGAACAGCATCCAGTATTGGGCCCCTACTTTCACGGGATGGGTCCTACACAGATGACAGCAAGGAAATGAGTGAACTACTCAAGTCCTAATATGACTCGGTTTATAGCGAGCCACTAACCACACAGTCGAAGACCTAACTGAATTTTTTATGAGAGAGAGAGAATTTAGTAGACACACACCTATCTGATATTATCCTGATGCCAAATGACTTCAAAAAGGCAATGACATGCCCATGCACTGTGACCCAGGCCCAGATTCATGGAACTCCGTGTTCATGAAGAACTGCAAGAAGCCCCTATCGCGTGCTTTTAACATCCTGTGGATAAGGAGCTTGGACACTGGGGTCGTCCCACAGTTACTAAAAACAACAGACATAGCCCCACTCCACAAAGGGGGCAGTAAAGCAATTGCAAAGAACTAAAGACCAATAGTGCTAACATCCCATATCATAAAAATCTTTGAAAGGGTTCTAAGAAGCAAGATCACCACCCATCTAGATATCCATCAGTTACACAACCCAGGGCAGCATGGGTTTAGAGCAGGTCGCTCCTGTCTGCCCCAACTACTGGACCACTATGACAAGGTCCTGCATGCTCTAGAAGACAAACAGAATGCAGATGTAATATACACAGACTTTGCAAAAGCCTCTGACAAGTGTGACCATGGTGTAACAGTGCACAAAATGTGTGATAAGAAATAACAGGAAGAGCCGGTAGATGGATCTATAATTTCCTAACAAATAGAACACAAAGTGTAGTAGTCAACAGAGTAAAGTCTGAGGCACTACAGCGAAAAGCTCCATTCCACAAGGCACAGTACTTGCCCCCATCTTGTTCCTCATCCTCATATTGGACAGACAGGGATATAAGCCACAGCGCCGTGTCTTCCTTTGCAGATTACACCCCACTGCAAGACTCCAGGCGGATCAACCAAATCTTTAAATGGTCTGCAGAAAACAATATGAAGTTCAATAATGAGAAACTTCAATTACTCTGATATGGAAAATGTGAGGAAATTAAAACTTCATCGGAGTATAAAACAAATTCCAACCACACAACAGAGCGAAAAACTAATGTCGAAGGCCTGGGCGTGATTCAATTCAAAGTTTATTCTCTATAAGGATTACAATGTTGAATTTACAGAATTTGGTTATTGTGTGGTTTACATGTAGTTAAATAATGATTACAGAGTGTACCACTAGAACACCTAGCATGGCTAGGCATTTCGGGCAGACTTAGTTTAATTCTTTATTTTAAAATATTACAAATTATGAGGTAAGTTGGTATTATGGCTAAGTGACTAAATACTAGTTTGTGAGTTTAGCAATGTGAATGCTTTTGTTTTGGCACAGTACATAGTGTCAGTACTGGAGTATCATAGGATTCATTATTTTAAGATTGAGATTAATATTTCTGTTTATGGTCAAATGGGTGAGTGAGTGTAAGTGTGAACCACCAGGTGGTATTCATGTAGTTAGTTGATGGGGTGTATCAGGGAGATAAGATGTTTTCTAATGGTAGTTTTGAAGGTGATGAATGTGTCTGCAGTTCTAAAGGATCTCGCCTTCAAGGACCATAACACTATCAATTGCATCTGCTACAAAAATGACAGGATGGATAATGAGAACCTTCAAAACCAGGGATGCCAAGCCCATGATGACACTCTTCAGGTCGCTTGTTCTACCTAGGCTGGAATATTGCTGCACACTAACAGCACCTTTCAAGGCAGGTGAAATTGCTGACCTAAAAAATGTACAGAGAACCTTCACAGCACACATAACTGTGATAAACCACCTCAATTACTGGGAACGTTTGAAGTTACTAAATCTGTACTCCCTAGAATGCAGGAGGGAGAGATACACGATTATATGCACCCGTACCAAAACTTGCACACGAAAATCACTCCTTAAGAAAGCAAAAGATTCAGCAGATGGTGCAACATCCCCCCAATGAAAAGCAGGGGTGCCACTAGCATGACAAGATACAACACAGTGTTAGGGGCCCACGACTGTTCAACTGCCTCCCAGCATACATCAGGGGAATTACCAATAGATCCCTGGCTGTCTTCAAGCAGGCACTGGACAGGCACCTAAAGTCAGTACCTGACCAGCTGGGCTGTGGTTCGTACGTTGGATTATGTGTGGCCAGCAGCAACAGCCTGGTTGATCAGGCCCTGATCCACCATGAGGCCTGGTCACAGACCGGGCCGCAGGGGCGTTGACCCCTGGAACTCTCTCCAGGTATACTCCGGGTATCTTTCTTCTTCTTTCGACACACCGGCCGTATCCCACCGAGGCGGGGTGCCCCAAAAGGAGAAACAAAAGTTTCTCCTTTTATATTTAGTAATATATACAGGAGAAGGGGTTACTAGCCCCTTGCTCCCAGAATTTCAGCCGCCTCTTACGACACGCATGGCTTACGGAGGAAGAATTCTCTTCCACTTCCCCATGGAGATAAGTGGAAATAAACAAGAACAAGAACTAGTAAGAAAAATAGTGGAAAACCTAGAAGGGAGTGTAATGTAAGTAGAAGTAGCAAGACATACCTGAAATCTTGCATGTTTATGAGACAGAAAAAAGACACCAGCAATCCTGCCATCATGTAAAACAATTACAGGCTTTCATTTTACACTCAATTGGCAGGACGGTAGTACCTCCTTGGGCGGCTGCTGTCTACCAACCTACTACTCCAGGTATACTTCTCCCAAAATTGGCAACTGACATGGCAGAAATATTAGTTTGATCAAAATAACCTGTATATATAGAATTAGTATCTCTTAAAATTTAGTTTTTACTATCATCACTCGATACAAACACTCCTGTACCAAACTTGCTGCCCTGTTGTTCTACCTCCATGAAATATATTAATAGCTCACCTGACTGCCCCATGCATAACCACCATTCTTCAGCTTAATGAGGGCACATTCTCCGTGAATACTTTCAATTGAAGCATCAGTATCCTCAATACTATCATTCAGGTCGTACAAAGTTGGATTGCTTGCCAGCTCATCTACTTGACCAAGACACTGAAAAGATGATCATTAGTGATATATAACATATATTCAAACATACACATATATGAAAATTTTCATTCTTATTCTCTCCTTTAATAAATCAAAGAAGGTGATTTTAATAAAGTAATACACAATTCATACTATTATAAATTCCTTTTACAAGTAAAAAATAAACCATTAATAATTAACATATAGATTGATGCAATCGTACAATGATGTACTCCTTGCACTAATGCAATGTGCAGCAGAAGCTACGGTTTCCCAGTTAACTTTCCATACACTGTCAGACACACGAAATAGAACGACATTAGCAATCAGCACTGTCAATTTTTCCTCTCAGGGTCTCAGTAATTCAGAGATCTAAGCCTAAGCCTCAAGGTTGCCAGTGATATATAAACCAAAATCAGAGTTGGATATGGTGACCCCAAAAAAAAAAAAAAAAATCACTTAGGCGACTCTCAAGTCATCTCAGAAGCTGGTGATGGACACATCAATTGTGTCAGACTTCCAGCAAAGAGAGTGAGGGAGTTATTGTTATGAGAGACATTGCATTCATTTCCCCCCAAGGAAAATGAAGGCAATATCTCCCATAGGTGACTGATAAAAGTTGTGATGATTGCTAAGGAGGGCCACCATGGTTTAAAAACTTGGGTAGCTTTGAAAACAGGTTGAACAAATATACGGTACGAGTGAGAAGGGTTGGAGTTGAGAAAGACCTGCCTTGCATGGACCAATAAGCCTACTAGAGTGCTCCTCAATTTGTCTTTTCTTTCAACAAACCAGCCACATCCCACCAAGGCAGGGTGGCCCAAAAAGAAAAAAAAAAAAAAAGTTTCTCTTTTTAACTTTAGTAATGTATACAGGAGAAGGGGTTACTAGCCCCCTTGCTGCCGGCACGTTAGTTGCCTCTTATGACACACATGGCTTATGGAGGAAAAATTCTGTTCCACTTCCCCATGGAGATAAAAGGAAATAAACAGGAACAAGAACTAGTAAAAAAATAGAAGAAAACCCAGAGGGGTGTGTATATATATGCTTGTATATGCATGTGTAGTGTGACCTAAGCGTAAGCAGAAGTAGCAAGACGTATCCAAAATCTTGCATGTTTATGAGACAGAAAAAAAGACACCAGCAATCCTACTATCATATAAAACAATTACAGGTTTCTGGTTTACACTCACTTGGCAGGACGGTAGTACCTTCCTGGGCGGATGCTGTCTACCAGCCTACTGTTCTTATGTATTATGACCAGCCTGTCAATGGCTACAATAATTTACAATATTAATTTACTTCATGCTTTTAAGGTTAAATTTTATAATAAAATGCAATTATGATATTTTTTGTATCCCACTTCATAAAAATATGTAATTCACCAGTAACTAAACAGTTGATAGCGAGTTTTTATTACTTTTTTTTTTTTTTTTTTTTTTTTTAGTTTTAAGACAAATTTTCAAGATAACGGGATTCAACTGGATGTGGAAATTTTCAAGAATTTCTGGTAGTTTGAAGTTATAGTATGGTAGTATGTACTTCTTACTGAATAAATGAAATATGATTAAACAGTAGATTAAATAGCCATATGGGTTAATAATCTCCATGGGGAAGTGGAACAGAATTCTTCCTCTGTAAGCCATGCATGTCACAAGAGGCAAGTAAAATGCCAGGAGCAAGGGGCTAGTAACCCCTTCTGTATACATTACTAAATTTATAAAGAGAAACTTTCGTTTTTCTTTCTAGACCACCCCACTTCGGTGGGATATGGCCAGTGCATTGACTGAAGAAAGAAGATGGGTTAAATAAGACTGAGCAAATTAAAGCTTTTTAACGTAAAATGTTAAAGAGCCAAACTCACCTTGCGACAGAGTTTTGCAGAGGAAGTATCATCCAGAGATGCTAGCTCCTCGTCAAATGTTCGAACTGTAACTACCTTCTCGTGTAATACTGCAAGCTGGTCTTGAAGTATGTTATTCTCCTGAGATGCATACAGGTAAACATGAATTTATGTTTTTCTACTTTATGCTAGATTTAAAAATACTGCTGAAATGAATATTTTGCATTAGACACACATCAGAGTAGCTTTGGAGAACAGAATTCAGATTTATACATAGACATGCATTTCTTGAGTCATGATCTCCCTAACTTGCCGATAAAATTTTTGTCTTTGTTCCTTGTAGTTTAACATTAGCAAAATAACAAAACACAACTTGACTCCACATTTGGTTTAAAGACCTATAAAATGCATAACCATTTTCTGAAGATTTAAAATGGTAATCAGCAATATGAAAAAACATTTTCCTAAAGATGAAAGCACAGCAAATGGCATCCAGAAAATCAAGAGTATGGATAGTGTACAGTGGTACATTGAGTTTCAAACAGCTCCCAACTCGAACAATTATGCAAGTGTATTTTTATAAGTGCTTTTGTAAGTGTATTTTTGGGGGTCTGAAACAGACTAATCTAATTTACATTATTCCCTATGGGAACAAATTCGTTTGGTATCAACACCCGAACAGCCTTCTGGAATGAATTAAGTTCATAACTCGAGGTACCACTGTATACTCTTCAAGAAGGGAGGATTAGGATTATAAAAAGGCCTCACTTGAGTTGTGCATGCCAATTGGATCTCCAGCTCCTCTTTTTTGCGAACTTCTCCTGCCAGTTCATTTTGAGCTGCCTTCAGTCTCTCTTGCAGCTCCTCAATCCTATTTCGTGCTTCTTTGTCTTCAGCTGTTCGTTCTTCACAGTTCTGAGTTAGAAAAAAAGCAAACAGAAATCTAATAAAATATCTTCATATCTTTAAACAAGTGATTTAGTTTATCTTGCAATCATTTACGTATGTTTTCCCTCACAAGACAATAGTAAGATACAGTAATGATAATAAAAAAATATGAAATTTACCAGAACGGCCACTTATTTTTGGACCACAAAATCTGTTCCCATGTTCTAGCTATTAAAATCTTCATATCTTAAAAATGGATATTATGCCATTTGCTGTCAAGTAAAATTCTGGAGAAAGTTTGAGAAAAACAAATCCAGTATTTACTGTTTAGTTAGAATATATATAAACCAAATAATACAGTTTTACTGCTAGACTGATAAATATTATATATACAGTACAGTAGTCATCACGTAGGTTTTAATATCATTCCTTTAATTAAACTCTCATAAAATAATGAACTATTACATAACAAACATTTCTCACAGAAAAAAAAATATTTTAAAATCTAATGAATTTGATGCAATGTGATTCTTAATCACCATAAAGGGCTATAATATTAGCTCAGAAAATCAAAGTAAAAAAAAAGAAAGCAATTATTGCCATAATTTGCAATTATCAGGGGGATGAACAGAATAAGCAAAGAAAAGACTGACTGACATGCAAACTAATGAGAAGAAAGTTTTTACCTGAATCTCAATATCCTCATCCTCCTCCTTATCGCAGATATCAGAGATAAGGGGTAAGGCCTTGATATTAACATCAAACATTTATAGAGAAACTGTTTGGGTCAGGGATCCACTTATGTTCTTACTGGATATGCTTATATTTTATATTTGTAATTTACTAGTAGTACTGCTCTACGAAGTACATGTAATTTTGGATAGGTTTTAATTCCTGTATATGCTCCTTATTTCTGAGAATAAACACCCATCTTCAGTGCACTATAACTGTTTTGTTGTACACAGTGAAATTGTACACAATGGTTTAAACAAAAGCAATATTTGATTTGCCATAGTTTGCACATAAACACAAAAACAGATCAGTTTCTTCAAAATTATTTCCTAAGCTCACTTGTACTCTACATTACTGAGTTGTAACAGGAAAATTACTCTTAAAAAATCTTCAAAGTCTGTACTGAAATATCATTTATATTATAATTATTAATGTGTTTGTTTTACAATAAATTTATTTAAAGAGCTTGTAGTACTCTTTGAAGATAAACTCATTAATTTAACAATCTTATATTTGCTATTAATTAATATGTAAGGAGCTGTGATTTAAGTTATATACAGGATTAAATTTGAACATACAGGCTCTTTATAATCATTGTTACAAAATGGCAACTGGAACTCTTGATATTAATGTTAGAAAATATTAAGTAAAATTGAAATTTCAGTTTGGGGAAGTGTGTGAATAACTTTTTAAATGGGAAAATAGAAAATAAAATACACAATATCAAAGACAGCAAATACTTGGTTTGCATGAGAAATCTACTAATTTTTTTTTTTTTTCAACAAGTCGGCTGTCTCCCACCGAGGCAGGGTGACCCAAAAAAGAAAGAAAATCCCCAAAAAGAAAATACTTTCATCATCATTAAACACTTTCACCACACTCACACATTATCACTGTTTTTGAAGAGGTGCTCAGAATACAACAGTTTAGAAGCATATACGTAGAAAGATACACAACATATCCCTCCAAACTGCCAATATCTACTAATAAGATAATTATTTAAATGATGTAAGAGAATTTTATTTATTCAAAAGCTGATATGCAAAATATTAAATTCATGTACAGTATTATAACAGATAATCATATATAATACTGCATTTTATTGTGTGATCGCTTTTACCATCAAAATTAGATTACGTACCACATTGTATGCCTACTGTGATCTATATGATAATTAGCAAGCTTAGAAAAAGAACCACCTCATTATTAGTAACAGATGAGAGCTTGCGGTAGTGTAGTGTGTGTGTGGTGAATTTTGGCAAAAAGTTTTCATAAATTTTACATGAATGGGAAGGTAGGCAAGGATATAAAAGAAAATGCTCTCCAGTTTGCTCTGCTCAGCTGATCTTGTCTGGTCTGTCATACCCTCGGGTTCACGTCAGAATATAGGAGTACATTATGTGATTTAGTCACTAGTAAGTGTATACTGTATAAGGCAAAGCTGCCCATAACTGTGTCACAGCTTGAGAGAGGTTCTAAGAGTAAGTCAATCAGCAAGCAAGTCATATGTTAATGAAGTGTAATTCATCAAAGAGGCCAAAAACTCGATGAATAGTTAATAAGCCAGTGACAGAATTGAATGTCAAATACAGGGAAATGTTGAAGCAGTGATTAGCAACTAGTGTGAGACAGTGATGAGGCTAATACTACAACTGTGCTGTGAAAAACAATAATATTAGTGGTATTACCAACTGAAGTGCAATTTATATCAATAAACCCAGGTGGTTTATGCATCTTCTATTTTACATTATTTTAAGTTATTTATGTTCAGACTTGACACATTCTATATAAACAAATTCCAGAACATGAAGTGGAATAAATATTCACTGGGCTATTCCTGACAGTTTTTATACACAGGTATAACAAATTTAAAAACAATTGATGACACTTATTATTTTTTCAAACATGCAATGTTGAGGGTATACAATGAGACTAATGTCAAATCCACAATAATGCAACACCACAGCAACCACTAGAGGACAAATAATGTGCAATATTCTATATGCCAGTACAGTATGTTTTAAAATGCATGCATTTGGTTGTTATTAATACACTGCTATTAAGTTCTAGATGATTATTAGAAAATTTGATAAATTAATTTTTTTTGTAAATGGTACTACACTAACTACAGTACTGTATGAGTTTTATATTTTGACTAATAATTATTTCTGTAGTGTAATACAATGTATTATAAATAAGTCTTGGTGCAAGACATCAGGGTTCATGGTACAGGAATATGCAAGAAATTATATGATAATTTAAAAGTAATAATAAAACCATAGAGGCCTGCCAACAGTTATATAATTTTAGTATACATTTCCTATCTAGTGTGTACAGTGTTATATAGAATATCTGGAGCATGGTCTGTTATACATCTTGAATAAATTGCAAGATGATTTTCTATAAGTCATTAAATAGAGCACTTGACACACAACTGAAAAAGCCAGGTTTGATTCTTGGGTAAAATGAAACATATGGGTAAGTCTCCACATACTTGCTGTCCATTTTCAGCCAGAAGTAAATAGGTACAATACCTGGAAGTTAGTGGACTGTTGTGGACTGTATCTTAGGGGGAAAATTTCAAATGCAAATAACACTAAAAACAGGTTGCTGTGAGCTTTAATGTGCTCTTGTAACTACAAATAAATAACCCCTAACTGTTCACCTGTATGGTGTTCTCACAGGAGTGAGAGCGACGGAGAGACTGTTCTTCAAGAATGATTGAGCGATGCTTGTTTCTGCCCCGCTGCTTCTGCTGAAGCAGTTGCTGCTGTGCTCCTGCCCGAGCCTCCTCCAGGTTCTTTTGAAGGTCATCACAGCGTGCTTCCAAAGACTCCAAGTTAGCACACAAACTAGATAGGCAAAGCAATATATTAGGCTCAACAAATGTTCCTTTAAACAAGGGATGAGTTTCACTGACATAAAATTCAAAATATATATGCCAATACACTATATCATAGCATTCTTACTGGTAATACTGTACTTGTAAGTTATAAGTGTGATATATGTGAAGTACATACATGATAAAACATCTAAATTAAAAAGCTTTATTCCAGCAAAGTACTGTAACCTGTCTGCCAATCAATTTAAGGCTATAATTAAAAATCACATAGGTAGTAGGTTGGTAGACAGCAACCTCCCAGGGAGATACTACCGTACTGCCAAGTGAGCGTAAAATGAAAGCCTGTAATTGTTTTACATGATGGTAGGATTGCTGGTGTCCTTTTTTCTGTCTCATGAACATGCAAGATTTCAGGTATGTCTTGCTACTTCTACTTACACTTAGGTCACACTACACATACATGTACAAGCACATATATACACACCCCTCTGGGTTTTCTTCTATTTTCTTTCTAGTTCTTATTCTTGTTTATTTCCTCTTATCTCCATTGGGAAGTGAACAGAATTCTTCCTCCATAAGCCATGCGTGTTGTAAGAGGCGACTAAAATGCCGGGAGCAAGGGGCTAGTAATCTCTTCTCCTGTATATATTAATAAATGTAAAAGGAGAAACTTTCGTTTTTCCTTTTGGGCCACCCTGCCTCAATGGGATACGGCCGGTGTGTTGAAAGAAAGAAGAAAAAATTAAAAATCACCTCATCTCCCAAACTTAACTATACCAACACTATACTATCCCTGAAATCACAGAATCAGTTTGAAACTACTCTAAGGAATCCCGGTTAACTTAAGATCACTAAATCAATTTTATTTAATTTTTTTTTCTTCAACAAACCGGCTGTATCCCACCAAGGCAGGGTGTCCCAAAAAGAAAAACGAAAGTTTCTCTTTTTAAATTTAGTATAATTTATACAGGGGAAGGGGTTACTAGGCCCTTGCTCCCAGCATTTTAGTCGCCTCTTACAACACGCATGGCTTACGGAGGAAGAATTCTCTTCCACTTCCCCATGGAGATAAGAGGAAATAAACAAGAACAAGAACTAGGAAGAAAATAGAAGAAACCCAGAGGGGTATGTACATATATGCATATGCTTGTACATGTATGTGTAGTGTGACCTAAGTGTAAGTAGAAGTAGCAAGACGTACCTGAAACCTTGCATGTTTATGAGACAGAAAAATGGACACCAGCAATACTACCATCATGTAAAACAATTACAGGCTTTCGTTTTACACTCACTTGGCAGGACGGTAGTAAATCCCTGGGCGGTTGCTGTCTACCAACCTACTACCCCCCATTTTATTTAATACACACTTAAAATTGTACTTTTGTAAATTGTACTACTTGAACTTTTTTGCTGCCTATCTACTATAAATTTCATTAATTATAAAAAAAAAAATTCTACCTCTTTTTATAATAATACATAATTAAAACTTCCTAGGTAGTAGGTTGGTAGACAGCAACTGCCCAGGGAGGTACTACCGTCCTGCCAAGTGAGTGTAAAACGGAAACCTGTAATTGTTTTACATGATTACCTGGAGTTTACCTGGAGAGAGTTCCGGGGGTCAACGCCCCCGCGGCCCGGTCTGAGACCAGGCCTCCTGGTGGATCAGAGCCTGATCAACCAGGCTGTTGCTGCTGGCTGCACGCAAACCAACATAAGAGCCACAGCCCGGCTGATCCGGAACTGACTTTAGGTGCTTGTCCAGTGCCAGCTTGAAGACTGCCAGGGGTCTGTTGGTAATCCCCCTTATGTGTGCTGGGAGGCAGTTGAACAGTCTCGGGCCCCTGACACTTATTGTATGGTCTCTTAACGTGCTAGTGACAACCCTGCTTTTCATTGGGGGATGGTGCATCGTCTGCCAAGTCTTTTGCTTTCGTAGTGGGTGATTTCGTGTGCAAGTTCGGTACTAGTCCCTCTAGGAATTTTCCAGGTGTATATAATCATGTATCTCTCCCTCCTGCGTTCCAGGGAATACAGGTTTAGGAACCTCAAGCGCTCCCAATAATTGAGGTGTTTTATCTCCGTTATGCGAGCCGTGAAAGTTCTCTGTACATTTTCTAGGTCGGCAATTTCACCTGCCTTGAAAGGTGCTGTTAGTGTGCAGCAATATTCCAGCCTAGATAGAACAAGTGACCTGAAGAGTGTCATCATGGGCTTGGCTCCCTAGTTTTGAAGGTTCTCATTATCCATCCTGTCATTTTTTCTAGCAGATGCGATTGATACAATGTTATGGTCCTTGAAGGTGAGATCCCTCCGACATGATCACTCCCAGGTCTTTGACGTTGGTGTTTCGCTCTATTTTGTGGCCAGAATTTGTTTTGTACTCTGATGAAGATTTAATTTCCTCATGTTTACCATATCTGAGTAATTGAAATTTCTCATCGTTGAACTTCATATTGTTTTCTGCAGCCCACTGAAAGATTTGGTTGATGTCTGCCTGGAGCTTTGCAGTGTCTGCAATGGAAGACACTGTCATGCAGATTCGGGTGTCATCTGCAAAGGAAGACACGGTGCTGTGGCTGACATCCTTGTCTATGTCGGATATAAGATGAGGAACAAGATGGGAGCGAGTACTGTGCCTTGTGGAACAGAGCTTTTCACCGTAGCTGCCTCGGACTTTACTCTGTTGGTAGGATTGCTGGTATCTTTTTTCTGTCTCATAGACATGCAAGATTTCAGGTATGTCTTGCTACTTCTTCTTACACTTAGGTCACACTGCACATACATGTACAAGCATATATATATATATATATATATATATATATATATATATATATATATATACACACACACCACACACACACACACACACACACACACACACACACACACACACCCCTCTGGGTTTCCTTCTATTTTCTTACTAGTTCTTGTTCTTGTTTATTTCCTGTTATCTCCATGGGGAAGTGTAACAGAATTCTTCCTCCGTAAGCCATGTGTGTTGTAAGAGGCAACTAAAATGCTGGGAGCAAGGAGCTAGTAACCCCTTCTCCTGTATAAATTACTAAATTTAAAAAGAGAAACTTTCGTTTTTCTTTTTGGGCCTCCCTGCCTCGGTGGGATATGGCCAGTGCGTTGAAAGAAAGAAAAGAATTAAAACTTAAAACTAGACATAGGTTACAAAGTAGTAAGTAGTGTGTGTCAGCATTACCATTAATGTGCTTGAAATGCTTATGCATGCTAGTGGCTGTGTGCTTAACAATATTTTATTACATGTAAACTATACATTGTATACTATACAAAGAAATAAAAAAATCTGAATCCTGAATTTTTTTAATTGTTTTTAATGAGGACTAGAGTCCTAGAGGTGGGATGTACAGTACTGGCACTCTAATGGAGGGGTGAAGATGTCATAGTTCTAAGGCCCATCTGAACTGGAATGTGTCAGCACACTTCTGGCAAGACAGTGATTGAGTAAATGATGGAAACTGTTTCCATTTTTTGGGTGGGGGGGGGGGGGAGAACGTACTTTGATGGGAGATGGTCAGCCGGTGTCTGTACTGTAATAATCCTTTGGCTTGTTAGTAGCTTTCTTTGTGCTTAACAATATTTTATTACATGTAAAAGTACATTTTTTATACTACAGATAATTTTTTTATTAGGATCACTGACTTAGTGAAACATCTGCTGTAATAACAACTAACAATGTCATTTATGATAACAAATTTTAGTATTTAATCTTTATAATAATTACATTATAATGATGTCAATTATTTTTCAGCACATCTTATAATCCGAATTAAGGGCTACCTCTACATGTCATTCGAAGGGTAATAAATGTCCTGAAATGTACATAATTGTCTTTATCTACAGTATATGAGACTTAAATAGACATATACAGACAGACCCTGCTTGACAGTGTTTCACTTTACAGCATTTTGCTAATACAGCAGTTTTCAATTATACCCATTCTTCATTTATTCAGACTTCCTACAATAAATATATTCATCACTCACTATAAGCTAAGGGCGAAAATATTTGAAGGTAGGTAGTATGTGTACTGTATATGCAATTTTTTTTAGGTCTAGCTCTATTGCTCACTTAATACATGATAATGTAAACATGTTATCAGGCTTTTATATGCATTTGAAAGTGAAAAAAATGCTGTTTCACTTCACAGCGATTTTTTATTTACAGCAGGAGCCTAGAACCTAACCTGCTATGTAAGTAGGGCCTGTCTGTACTTGGCTAAAGCACTGGAAAAACTACTCTGCTGATTAAGCAAGATACAATGGCTACGAGTTAAACAGTATATATACAGTAGCAGGCAAAATTTGGGTATTTTACTGGAATTAATGGCAATACAGTACGTCATTGTGAATTAAATATTTGAACATTTGAGAGTGAATACAGAATAATCCATAGGGCAAATGTTCTTCCCAGATGTCAAGTAGTGCCATTATCCAGGGTAAAGTAGTGCACGAATTATCCAAGACTAAAAAAAAATAGCCAGGGGTGGGGTTTGATCCCGCGGTCAGTGTGTCTCAAAACTCCAGACCGTCGCGCTGTATAGTCCTTGTGGCTTAGCGCTTCTTTTTGATTATAATAATAATAATCCAGACCGTCGCGTTAGCCACTGGCTAACGCGACGGTCTGGAGTTTTGAGACTCTCTGACCGCGGGATCAAACCCCACCAGTGGTATGGTTTGTTTGCAATCGTGTCATTACGATTTCGTGAGTCATGTACTCAGGGTAACTGTAGTCTTTACCTTACATTTACTTACCTCTTTATTTTGCGCTTGTCCGAAGCGCCTTCAGCAGCGAGCCTCTGGTTGTTCTTCTCCAGGTCCTGTATGGAGATCTCCAGCTGCTCGTAGATGCGCAGACGAGAATCATTCACTTCCCTCAAGGCAGCTGTCTGCTTGCTTAAGTACTGAGGACAACACAACTCTTGTTAGCACTGCCACCATGGACGAGGCACAAGACAGTGAAATATTGTATACTGAAATTGAAAACATGAATAATATAACAAACAGATCATTAAATAAAAATAAATGCTGCCTTGGTAGCGAACAATCCGAAATAAAAATTTTTTATAATCTCTGCTACTTGTTCTTCATTCTGTTTTAACCATATAAGAATACTAGAACTCTACTAAAGATATTGTGAAATAAAATAAACAACTTTTGTTTCTTATTACCATATCTCTACACTACTACCAGGTCAATGTGACTGACTCACATCCGAGTCATACTAGCATGCCAGCGATTGTTACCATGGCTTACTGGCTATCACATTCACATTTATGTCAGTAGACACCAATGTCTATACTAGTACCATATGCCAGCGGTGGTTTCTTGTCACAACCCCACCAGAGCCAACAACATCAAAGAACAGATCATCATATGATAAAGCCTTTGTCAGGCGAGTAATTAAACCCACCAACCATGAAGGATAAGCAATACGAGAACAATTAAGAATGCTCCTTTTCTTTAGTTTAAAGTCTAGACGAGTACAAATAGGAAGCGTGAAAATTGGCACACATGTGCAACATCTGGTTATCTTTATTGTAGACGTTTCGCCATCCAGTGGCTTTATCAATACAGATTCTAGGACATAATTTGAAGACAGTAGAACTGTATACAAAAGATGGGGTAATCAGTCTCTCAGTCTTGGGATTGGTGTGAAGAGCACCGTAGTCGTGAAGATTCTGGAGCAGAGGCAAGGAGGCTGGCGCTTGTATACTGAGTTAAGGTGGATTGGGATGGGCAGCAGACAAGGGCATAGTCACTGGTAGGTGGGATTCCCCAGTGGAAGTAGGTCATACCCAAAAGGATGGGTAAGTTGTAGTAGCCGTGAAGGTCATGTAGATGTCCTTTGAACCAATGTTCCATGATGTTGCAGTGTCTGACAAGTTATCATCATAGAATCTTGGTTCAAAGGACATCTTACATGACCTTCTTCACGGCTACTACAACTTATCCATCCCTCTGGGTATGACCTACTTCCACTGGGGAATCCCACCTACCCTTGACTATGCCCTTGTCTGCTACCCGTGGCCCGATGGCTAAAAGCTCCCGCTTCACACACGGAGGACCTGGGTTAGATTCCCGGAGGGTGGAAACATTTCGACACGTTTCCTTACACCTAGCAGCAAATAGGTACCTGGGTGTTAGTCGACTGGTGTGGGTCGCAGCCTGGGGGATAAGATTGAGGATCCCAATGGAAATAAGTTAGACAGTCCTCGATGACGCACTGACTTTCCTGGGTTATCCTGGGTGGCTAACCCTCCGGGGTTAAAAATCCGAACGAAATCTTATCTTATCACCTGACTTAGTATATAATCGCCAGCCTCCTTGCCTCTGCTCCATAACCTTCACAACTACGGTGCTCTTCACACCAACTCCAAGGCTGAGACTGATTACCTCATCTTTTGTATACAGTTCTACTGTCTTCATATTATGTCCTAGAATCTGTGTTGATAAAGCCACTGGATGGCGAAACGTCTACAATAAAGATACCTAGATGTTGCACATGTGCAACATGTGAGGTGCACATGTGCACCTCACTGTAAGTAAACACTGGCATGCACTTCATTGTTTCATCTTATTATAATATTAGCAAAGGAATTAATGTTAACTTTCTTATGGATTAAAATTCAAGACAAACATCCGCGATACATTTACATTCTGTTAATGCAATATGAAGGTAAGTGTCTCAGGCCCCAAAGAGATGACAGAAGACAAGCGAGAAATCATTTAGCTCTTCCCGTGGGCTACAAAAACGGGTATCCAGGTTGTAATTAGCATTCTGAAGAGGTTTCGGTGTTCAGGTATTTTGTAGTTGGACAACCGGGAAGTTATAGACAGCATTCATATTCATTCACTCATTCGTTAATGCACTCACAAATGCGCACACCCTTCACAACCTAATTTCCACTAACTCAATGATGCCCAATGAGTGGCCCGCAGTCATGCCACGCTTAATGAGTGACCTTGTCTTGCTCAACTAGTGACTCTGCTCCGTTCAATGAGTGGCGTGCAGTCATGTTCACTGAATGGCAGTCGTGCTCATTGAGTGGCCTGCAAGATGAACCCATCAACGAGGCCTTGTATGACACCAAGGCGCGGAAGGTGATGATCTCCGGTACAATCAAGAGGTAACGACAGTTAAGATGATTCTGCGGGGTCATCCCACGCTCCCAGCTGCTGCATATCTCACGGATGCTGCCACAGCTACAGCATAATGCTTGATACATGAGCGCTGGGGTGCCAGGGTGTGGCATTAGGCAGGAACACTCCCAGGTAACAACGGTTATAACACCACTGTCGAGGTCAATATAGTGATCGTGTGTGTGTGAGAGCGTGTGTGAGAGAGCGCGCGCGCGCGCGTGTGTGTGTGTGTGTGTGTGTGTGTGTGTGTGTGTGTGTGTGTGTGTGTGTGTGTGTGTGTGTGTGTGTGTGTGTGTGTGTGTGTGTGTGTGTGTGTGTGTGTGTGTGTGTGTGAGAGAGTGTGTACTCACCTAGTTGAGGTTGCAGGGGTCGATTCCAAGCTCCTGGCCCCGCCTCTTCACAGGTCGCTACTAGGTCACTCTACCTGAACCGTGAGCTTTTCATACCTCTGCTTAAAGCTATGTATGGATCCTGCCTCCACTACATCGCTTCCCAAATTATTCCACTTCCTAACATCCCTGTGATTCATCTGTGTCTTCAACTTCCAACTGTGTCCCCTTGTTGCTGTGTCCCATCTCTGGAACATCCAGTCTGTGTGAGCGCGCGCGCGTATATATGTGTGTGTGTGTGTGTGTGTGTGTGTGTGTGTGTGTGTGTGTGTGTGTGTGTGTGTGTGTGTGTGTGTGTGTGTGTGTAGTAAGTAAGTAAATTTATTCAGGTATACACAAATACAGTTACATAGAATTATCATACATAGCAGCATATGTGTAGAGAACCTAGGATAACCCAAAAAAGTCAGACACAGTGACTTATTTCCATTGGGGTCCTTTTACCTTATTATTATAATATAAAGGTTATAATATTTTCTTATTATTCTACAATGAAGATAACATCTTATTATCATACTAAAAAGACTATCTACTACACGAGGGTCATTAAGACTGGAGTTTACCTGGAGAGAGTTTCGGGGGTCAACGCCCCCGCGGCCCGGTCTGTGACCAGGCCTCCTGGTGGATCAGCGCCTGATCAACCAGGCTGTTGCTGCTGGCTGCACGCAAACCAACGTACGAGCCACAGCCGGCTGATCAGGAACGACTTAGGTGCTTTTCCATGCCAGCACAATACGGGGTCATTACTAGGAAAAGGGAAAAAATTTAACGTTTTTTTAGCAAAAAAATTAAAAAAACCCTTTTCCCCTCCCTTTCTGTAGTTTCATTAAGATAAGATAAGAAAGATTTCGTTCGGTTTTTTTAAAGGGGGGGGGGGGGGGGGGGCCCAACCCCCGGAAAACCCCAAGAAAGTCAGGGGCGTCATCCGGGGCCCTGTTTTAACTTATTTCCTTTTGGGGTCCTTAATTTGCCCCCCAGGAGGGCAAACCCCCCACCAGTGATTAAAAACCCAGAAAACCAAATTTGCTGCTAGGTAAATGGAAAATGGGGGGTAAGGAAAGTGCCCGGAATTTCCCCCTCCCGGAAAATCAAAAAAAACCCCGGGCCCTCCTTTGGTGGGGAAGGGGGGAGTTTTTAGCCCCAAAACCCCCGGGCAGTCTTTTTTAAAACGGGTTTTAAAATGTTTATGGCTGGCTTTGCCCTTTTGGGGGGTGGGTTTTTTTTTCCATTCCTTTATTGCTGTACAAAAAAAGGTTTTTTGGGACGCCGGGAAAACATGTGTGTGTAAAACTAAATAAAACCCCAAATGGACAAAAACCCTGTACAAAAAAATTTAAAATCCACATTTAAAATGAAGCTGCAAAAAATTCCAGTTAAATCATTTACAAAATTAAGTCCTTTTTAAAAAATTTTTTGGAATGTGACAGTTTTTTAATGAAAGTTTTAAAAAAAGAATATAGGGGGGGGGGGGGGGGGGGTTTTTGATTTTTACCTTTTTCCCTATCAGAAAAATGTGGGGGGGGACTTTTGGGGAAATTCCTGTTTTTTTATAGAAAGGAATTTTAGTGTGAAAGGGTTTTTGGAGCCCAATTTCCTAAATCCTCATTTGTTCCTATCCAAGCGTTCTAGTATTCTGTGTCTGTGATGATGGTCGTAGATGATCACTGGCAGCCATGGTTGTCTGTAGAAACTAGTTACCGCCCTCCTACCCAGGACCAGTTCTTAGAAAACTTTTCCAGAGTCTTGTCCGGAGTTGAAAACAATTGCGAGACAATAATACTGGGCGACTTCAATATCTGTTTTCAGCAGCAAAATAACGGGCTATGCAAAAGGTATAAGCAAATTCTAGGATTAAATAGTTACACTCAACTAATTAATACTCCAACCCGGATCACACAGTTCTCAGCCACCCTAATTGACCACATACTTTGTAACCGCTCTGAGAACATTAGTCAGTCATCCGTCATTACCACAGGTCTTAGTGATCATTTCATCATTTACTGCACCAGGAAAATCACTGGGGAATAGGATAGGCCTACACGGGACAAAAAAAATGAGGTCAACTAAAAACTACAGTAAAGAAACACTGGTAAATAGGCTACAAAAACGTGACTGGACAGAGATAACGGGTTGCACGGACGTAAACGAGCCTGGGAAAAATTCAAAACAATGTTCACTCCATCCTTGTTAATATTGCACCAGTTAAAGAGGTTAGGATTAAACGAAGAACTGAACCCTGGATGAATGCTGAGATATTAGATAATATGAAATTCAGAGACCGTGCTAAAAAGTTTTAAAGCAAACAGCAGGATATTGCAGCACTAAATGAATTCCAAAGGGTGAGGAACAGAGTACAGAGATTTATAAAGGAG